TCCACCACAAATCCTACTTGACGAGACCCGGCATCGAACCCGAGCCGCCGCGGTGGGAAGCCAGCGACTAACCGCTTGAGCTATGGCGCGGCCGGATTATAAGTAACTCTTCTTTTACCTGAGCAGGGTAGCAGCCTGTTGCAAAACACCGTATCTCGGAGGACCCGAGCTTTTATTAAGGGATTTCCTTCCCCTAGATGTTTTGCCTACCATGGCTAACATGTCCTGTCTACCCGACAAATAACCCTGGGAAAGTGTCATTACCACGACCCACCCACGGGGCTCATGTGACCTGGAGCTGTCATAAGACAGGGTCGCCACTCCCTACAGATTGTCTCTTATAACACTTTCAATTTTGTACCTTGATACTTGAAAGCAAACCTATAATCTGGGGTATCATTAAGCTAATCTTCCATTCAAATGGTCGATATACAAAATACTACACGCATTTTATTTTCAAAAATATTTTGTGATGCTGATCTTTGGCTCTTCCGGTCCGTATTCAGATATTTTCCCGATAGCTATCTCCAATCTGCTCAAAGGATAAAAAAATATATGGTCGAAATTATTCGCTACTCGTCCAGAGATTATTAAGGGGTGCATGTCCAATATACGGGCAAATGTTATCACCCACCATGACGTAACATGTTACGTAGTTCTTTTTTACAGAAGTGAATTTATGCATTCATCTGTATTCAGTCACAGAATTCCCCACTGGAAACAGTTCACAAACACTGTAACAGCACAAATGAACTGCTGTTTCCTCACCTCCTACCCGGGACTCTTGCCTGGAAGGGGCCGTATGTTCAATGTTTCGCGTAACAGGACTATAATTTACTGTATACAAACGTTTGTTTCTGAATAGTTCCACATCCAAAGATAACATCAGTATCTCAGATAAGGGCCCTATATTTACCTGTATGTTACATGCATCCTCATATCACGACCTGTCTTCTGCCGTCATATTTCATTCTAAGTACGCAGAAAAAACACACGTCAACTATTACTGATAAGAATTAGTATGAGGTCCAATTCATTAATATCAGACCCATTCCAGAAAAGTTATTGCGTGGTTTCCACAGCAATCAATATTGACTGTTCATATTTTTTTCAGTTTAACTCACCCATAAATGTAAATACCACATTGAATCCATGAGGGTACCAAGTGACCTTCCGTGTATTTTATTCGTATGTGTCCTCTCTGAAAGTTGACCTCGGTGTAATACTCCTGAAATAATATTCCAAGAAAATTATTTTTTCTATAATTTCTGTCTGAAAATTGTGCTGCGGCCTATACACGCACCACGCGGCCTATACATGCGTAAATGCGTAAATACGGTATATATATATATATCAACGGTGGAGAAAATCTCTCGCCTTATTGAATACATATTAACTTGTAAGTAACTACTTTCACGAAGCTGAGTCCTGCTTGAGAAGCTAATGGTTACTCACCCGTTCAATAAACTCCCAGTGCTTGCAAGTTTCATCGCCGTGTTAACGAGAGACCGCCAGTGGCCCTTACCCTGAGTCAGACGAATCCAGCTCACACCTTCGACTTACTTCTCGATCCATTTTAATATTATTGTGGCGTGCCGCCAGAAAGCAGGAATGGTTGAGGAGATCAGAGTTAATTTCCTAGGCAACGACCAGCGTTCCAGCTGCAAAGCCTAGGAACTGGAACAACGGCTGGCAATATCTAAGCAACGAGTTGTTTGAAGCAGCGTTTGCGTAGCAGCGGGAGAGGTTAACCTTCGACATTGTGTTCCCTATTGAGTCCGAGTGCAAGTTATAAGAGTCCAACTGTGACAAGAGACTAGTTCAGTTTGTATTTGACCTTAGAAGAGTAGAGTTGGTATTCGGCAAGAGAACAGAAGGGTTCTCATCCGACTAAAGAAGAAGACACTTCACCAAGATCATCAATGCGAGAGTGTCATAATATTGAAGAGGAAACGTCAAAAGACGTTATAATTTGTGAATAATAGTGAGTATGAGTGTAAAAGTGACTGTTCAATAAATATTTTTCAAATCCGAGAACCCGCATAAATTTATTTGTCTCGTTGCCCAGCAAACACGTGACATTATTATCCTACCTATGCCTAAGTCTTCCTAGAGGTCTCGGTTCTACAGGGTTTCCTGCCAAATTTCGTATGAACCCCTCTTCTCTCATCCGTGATACATGCCTTGACCATCTGAACCTCCGCGATTTCATGAGTCTAATAATTACATCCGGCAAGGAGTAAAAATTACGAAGTCTCTCATTACGCAATTTTTTCCAGACATCTGTTTTCATCCCTCTTAGTTTAAGATATTTCGCTCAGCGCCCTATATCTAGTAAGCTTTAGTTCACAATTTGCCCCTAAATGTGAGAGACAAGGTTTCATATCCATATAGAATGACAGGAAAAGCTGTGGTTTAATATATTTTTATCTCTACGTTTTCTGGTAGCAGACAAGAAGTCGAAAGATTCTGAACTGAACAGTAGGCAGCATTTTAGAAAATTAATTTGCTCTTGATTTCGTCATGACTGCAATTGGGATTCGCTAGTGTCGTTCCCAATTAACTCTTTAATACTAAATAATAATGTATCTCGACACAGTTCCAGGAAACCAGTTGAAATTTTGACACCTTTCACTGCGTGGATAACATAACTGAATTACAAGTTCAAACAAGTGTTTAAAATTTTAAAACCTCGCGTGGGAGTCCCACATTCGGCACAAAACTATACTGTCATTACAGACCCTACGGAAGCGAAAACCGTCTATATTTTACAAAGTTTTCCTCAAAATGCACTCAATACTATACTGTGTTAAATATTTACCATATTTTGGGCTAAACCTCTTGACGGTTGAATGCAAAGAGACAACTTAAAGCATCTCTGTCTTCTGGGATGTACAATATGATAACGATTTGCCGATCACACTAGCTGCGCGGTCTAAGGCATGAACTGTCTTCGCTGGTTCGGACGCTGCGATCATGGGTTCGAATCCCACTCAGGACATGGATGTCTGTGTTTGCGTTTATTCTGTTTGTATTGTCCTGTGTTTATGTAGAGGCCTTGCGATGGACTGATCACTCGCCCAAGGAACCCTACCGTCTGTGAAAAATGATTACGGAACTGAATAAGAGGCCTGGGTTCTGAATCGGCTGGAAGAACGAATAAAAGAAATGATAACGGTTTGCGTTCATTCATTCATTCATCTGTAATCTGTCAGACGACAGGTCCACAGTCTCTTCCAAAACAGTTCCTCCACTTGATGCGATCTAGAGCTTTCTCATTCAAATGAAAATATCCTCTTCTGTCCCCAAGGTCATCCAGCATCTTCTTACGTCTTCTTCCTCGTCTTCTGGTCACTTCTATCCGCCCCTCTATCTTTCCTTCAATAACGGTTTACGTTCAAGGAAGAAAAATTTCTTAAAATAACAACACCGACAATTCTACCACACTTATAACCCATTTACCAATTAGAAGACGAAATGAAATATTTACGTATTTATCTTGAATGAGGAAGCGCGTCCCGTTATGTAGAGCAGTCTCATTGACACAACGTCCAAAAATCTTCCCTACCAGCTTTCGTATTTGTTTCAGATTCAATATGATCTGCAGTTTTGCAAAAATGTATATAAAATATGCGGGCGATATAAGATTAAAATGTTTGTTATTAAGTAAGTTATGTTTTATCTTCAAACTGACTTTTATTGTCTTTAATATTATATGTCATGTGTGTTACAGGTGCAAAATAAGCCCTTTATGGTCTTGCAAATTACATCTACATGTTCTCATCGAACTATACACAGACTGTTTTTATTAAAATTGCCCCGCATGTAAATGATTAAAATTCAGCCTATGATACGTATTAATTTGAAATGCAATTAATTGGTTTGTCTTGAAAAGAATATGAATTATAAATGTTAATATACTATGACGTATAAGCTGTCCATGCATTCGAGATCTTTACACAGTTTACAGCATATTTAATCGGTGGTTCAGCCAGTTGGTATGTCAGTCGATCAGTTAGTCAGTTAGTACTCAAATAAAAATTTAGAACCATATTATGTATTTTCAGTGATTTTACAACAGTGGAATGTCCACGCAGCAAGAAGTCTGTCACATATTTAAACATGACACCGATGTCCCTATGTTTCGACTACAGGGGCGAATCTAGGGTGCAAACTTTCATATTCATGTTACGTGAGGAATACTCACAGCATCGATTTTCAACTCCACGTGGCCTACTTAACCGACCAGTCTCTTATACTTGTTCTTTTCAGTGGAAAGTGACACACGGAAGACCTGAAGGACGAACTGCAGAGAAAGAGCATAAAAGACTCTAAGGTTTGAAGATATTTCCCATATTTAATCGGCCTATATACAATTTCCTGGATAGCGTAGTGGGTATAGAGACTAAGGGCTGGGCGACAAAGGGGCCGGAGTTCGAGTCCCGGTGGGGGCAAGAATGAAGATGGTCCAGACCGGCTCTGGAATCCACAAAATCTCATATCCAATCGGTACCGGGGGCTCTTTCCCCGGGGGTAAAGCAGTCGGGGCGTGAAGCTGACCACTCACCTCCAGCTAGTGCCACGGTCAAGAAGATGTGGATCTATACATCCACTCCCCCATACGCCTTCATGCCGTAGTGCTTAATTCGTTGAACATAAGGACAATTCTATCTTATATACATTAGCATCAATTACAGTTGTTTAAAAATGAACCCAATAATTCTTCATAAAAGTTTGCAATAAGTTTAATTTCGTGAAGTTCTGTAGGAAGGTACAAGTATCTCTGAGCCTCCTTTAATCTAATATTACATAGAAGTCAGCAGAAAACTAAGAAAGTATTCCAAGAAACCATTTATAATTCCTCAGTATAAATGGCGAAGAGGAGCTGAGGAGTTAAGGAATGCTTAAGTGCTTCTTCAAGGAGGCTGTTTTCTCTCATAAGGGGTTTAAGTTGGAAGACATTGGACTGAATCCTCCTGACGGGTTGAGCTCATACTTACCGATAACGGTGAGGTTTATTTTGAGGTTTCGGGTTGGAGTGTTGCGGAAGTCCACACGGCATCTATACATTCCTTCATCGGAGAGGGCCACGTCGTCCACTAGAAGCTGCGCTGGAGTGGACGCTGTCCTAAAGTACGCTCTCGTACCGAATGCCGTTGGTGCTGACCATAGTTTGGCTTGACCAAACTGACGCCCTCGTACGTCGAAACTGCGTAAGAAAAGGAGACGACATATATCTTCAGGCGTATTTCAATTTTTCTTTCAACAATGGAGTATTCTGCTATTGTTGGCTCAGGCGGAAGAATGGGGCGCTACGCCCGTCAAGTCGATCCGACATAAAACGTGTGGGATGTCATATGGAGAGACAACCACTAGTTGAATTATCCTATAGTATTTATTACAGTTACACAGTATACACGGATGGATAATAACAATAGCGAACTCCTTGAACACTGAACTAGAATTGTAGAACTGTAATAAATACTATAGGACAGTTCAACTAGTGGTTGTCTCTCCATACGACATCCCACATTGGTGACCCCGACGTGATAACGTGGGATGTTCCCACAAACGTTTACGCTGTTTTCGCAACTGCGCTGTCTTGAAAAGTAAACGTGCCTGCAAAATTATCTATAGAATTTATGGATTATGAGAGAAATAAGTGATAAATATTGAGAAATTTGAATCGGTGTTAGTGGCGGTAACTACCATGGTGTAAACTGATTCTTAGTAAATGAATCATTGCTTTGCTGCGCATAATCTTCAAGTCTACTTTTATTCGAGCGTATAACAGCAGTTGGACGAATCATTTTGACGTTATTCAATGTCACTAGAAAAAAACTACAGTATTTCGGCTATCTACATAAGGAACATTCATTTTACACGTCAGCAGTTTAAGAAAGAAAAAGGGATTTTGGCTCTCTTTCTTAAATTCGCAACGAATCTAAGTGAGGTGAACCTACATTTCTGTAATATTTACAGCTCCTGTATTTGAAGTTTGGCGTTTTGGTTCTTCAAATTGCTCCTTATTATTTCTTACTGCAAACCGTCACAACACAACAATCAGTAATACGTGTGAGTAGCTCTAGGAGATACTTTTGCTACATGTTTGGGCCTTCAAAAGGCCATCATCAGGCAAATACATTAAACTTTTCGTTACTGAATTGCATGTCAAATACAGGATACAGTGCCAAACTCCCAAGTGTATAGAATGGTATGAAATTATATGAGAGAATATAAAATATAAATTACAATAAAAGTTGAAGTCTTAAATAACTAGTTACATAGTCAAAAGTGAAGTTAAGTGAAGTGATGGTATTTGGAAGTTGGCTGTTGTAATCGTAATACGTATATAAGTATATCGTATATGTAGTGTTTATACGGACATATTATATACACAATGGCTGTTGTGGTGTTCGAATGCCCGTTGTTATGCTGTATGTCATTATTTAATATTTGATATTATTTGACGGGCAACTCCGTTGTGTAAATATCCGATTTGATGGAGAGATGGATTACAACTCCTTATTCCTTAAATGTGTTCTGAAATCTTTGCCGAAATTCGGGTATCACTAGGAGACCGTAGCAAAATCTGAGTTCCTCTCAATCTACAAATCATAATGAATAACTATACAGAGACATTGTATACAAAAGTGACCAGCGTACATCGACACAGTTTGGTGCAGTCATTACCAAAATTTAGTTCTGGCTAGTAGTAATTCCATAACTTCGGTTTCAATGATATAATTAGTCTCTGTATGCAAATTACTAAATACAATTAAACTGGCTTGAAACCTATTAATCAGCCACATGATGCCTCAATCAACAGTTATCAGCAAGCAGAAACCACTGTAACAAGATTATTCTAATGCAAATCGAAATCACTTAACGGCATTTCGCTGTTATGGTCAGGACCATCAGCAATTGTCCGGCTCAAACGGTGCCACAGAGCGGAGGAGACTACAACCTCTCGTACTTGTGGACATCTGTAATGTCACTTAGCAACGTGAACTCGTAAGTTGTAAGCCCACTAACCTTACTTATCACACAATAAGCCCTTAAGACAAATCTCCATTCTACCAACATAACCACCAATGTCATTACCGTTACTACGACCACCACCACCACCAGCACCACCATTCGCATAAATAGATGCAAAAGCAACAGCAGCAGCAGCAGTAGTAGCAGTAGTGGTGGTGGTGGTGATGGAGGTGGAGGTGGAGGTGGTGGTGGAGGTGGTGATGGAGGTGGTGATGGAGGTGGAGGTGGTGATGGAGGTGGAGGTGGAGGTGGAGGTGGTGGTGGTGATGGAGGTGGAGGTGGAGGTGGTGGTGGTGATGGAGGTGGATGTGGTAGTCCTTTTTTGGACCTTGGCCGCTTTTTCAGTTTCTTGATCTTTCGCACAGTCGGTAGGATTCCTTGGACGGGGGATCAGCCTGTGGCAAAGTAGTAGTAGTAGTAGTAGTAATAAAAACTGCAATATCTACTGCCACCCTTGAAAGCTGAGAGTTACTCAGTCGGTCATGTTCATTACTGTGCTCGCAAACGTCCGCCAATATATCCTACTCTATCCAGTATTTAACACTGCCTAATGTTCATTTTAATATAATCCGGTGGCCGTGTTATAGCTCAGGCGGTCAGGGTTCGATTCCAGATCAGATCATGTGAGATTCATGGTGGACGAAGTGGCACTGGGGCAGGTTTATCCGAGTATTTCGGTTACCCGTATCAATTCTGATTCTCATTTCATACGCAGCCGGTCACGGTAGCCGAGCGGTCTAAGGCATGTACCGTCTTAGTCGGGATCGTGGGTTCGAATCCCACATAAAGCATGGATGTTTGGTATGTGTATGTGTTTATTCTGTGTTTGTGTTGGCCTCTGTTTAAGTAGGGGTCTTGCGACGAGCTGATCACCCGTCTAAGGAGCCCTACCGTCTGTGAAATGATCATAACGAAAAAACAACCTCGACATCGTAAAGGAATAAGAGAAACGGATTAAGTAAGTGTTTCATATGCATCTATAATGCGGGGTCTGTGCAGTAGAACCATTAGTATCCTGCGTGCCGAGTGGACTCCGTCTCACTTCACCCCAAGCAAAAATATTATCCGGTGAATTTATAAATCAAAAAAGAAATTGATCGCTGTGCTTAGTTAATTAAGCACCACGCCGTGAAGATGCATGGGCGAGTGGAGGTATAGCGCCACAATTCTTAACCTTGGCACTACATTGCAGTAAGTGATCACCTCACTTCCCTGCCACTTTACATCCGCGTAAACAGCACCCGGCAGCCACTGTAAAGGGGTCTGGGGGGACCCGGAGTAGGTCTCAACGTTATGGAGAACATAAATATTTCTTCCCCTGTCGGGAATCGAACCTCGAGTCCTCGGTCTTTCTGCCCGCAGCCTAGTCGCTATACCGACTGAGCCAGTCCGGCTCCCCGTTTATAAAGATAATATAAATATAATAATAATAAAGTCATATGTTCAATTATACTTTCAAATGCCAAGAGGATTCAAGAATATGGCAAACAGTACTGCTAACACATCGGGAAAACAAAAAGTTCTGAGACATCAACAAACAGTTCAGAGTGACCGAAGCCTTGAATGAAGGATGACGATATCTTCTTCAGTACAACCAAGAAATAAAGAAGCATAATATATTATTAAAACCATATGTGGCAGGAAAAATAGTTGCGGTTTAGTGTCTTTATGATAAATATTATTAACAATCTGAATATATATGTACAAAATACGTGTAATTACTTGAGGTCTAAAAACAGCAAAAATTGCATCCGATATGGCCTCATGCATAAATCAGAACATCGTTAGCACAGTATAAATTTACACAGGCCAGAACAGTGGACACTGGAACATGACAATGATTTAATAGCGTTTTTCCGAAAATAAACCTTACAAAAGCAACACCTCTGTTCCTTTTACATCTATTCTTCCTCGCAGTGAGAACCTATGTAAAAGAAAGGGAACATAAACGCTGACAGGGCTCAGAGAGTTCGATTATCTGGCAAATTTTCCCAACAGGCGAGATATCGACTATCGATTCATGTGGACGGCAGGCGCCATATCTGCTTTAGACATAATGTGCACGCAGGACGTCAGCGCTGGTGTCGGAAACGCCGCGGGTTGCATAACACGCAGGAAACACAGCGCTTCCGGCACAGCCGAGGATAAAGTCTCGTCAGAGCTGCAGTCCATGACATGCTGTACACATGTAGTACAGAGGAGGCCATGTAATCTATTGCATGTTGCAATCACATTCTTCAGAGCTGTAGTTAATGGCATGCTGCTTAAAAGCAAGCCAAGTAATCTATAGTGTGTCACAAGGAAGACTAGCTACAGCCATAGAGAAATAGTGGGCCATGTAATCTATAGTGTGTCACAATGAAGGCTAGCCACACCTGCAGAAAGATAGAACGCCAAGTAATCTATAGTGTCACAATGAAGACTAGCCACAGCCATAGAGACATAGTGGGCCATGTAATCTATAGTGTGTCACAATGAAGACTAGACACAGCTGCAGAAAGATAGAAAGCCAAGTAATCTATAGTGTGTTACAATGAAGACTAGCTACAGCCATAGATAGATAGTGGGCCATGTAATCTATAGTGTGTCACAATGAAGACTAGCCAAATAATCTATAGTGTGTCACAAAGAAGACTAGCTACAGCCATAGAGAGATAGTGGGCCATGTAATCTATAGTGTGTAACAATGAAGACTAGCCAAATAATCTATAGTGTGTCACAATGAAGACTAGCCACAGCCATAGAGAGATAGTGGGCCATGTAATCTATAGTGTGTCACAATGAAGACTAGCCAAATAATCTATAGTGTCTCACAATGAAGACTAGCCAAATAATCTATAGTGTGTCACAATGAAAACTAGCCAGTTATAGAGAGATAGAAAGCCATATTATATAGAGTGTGTCACAAAGAATGCTAGACAGAGTTGTAGTCCATGACATGCTCTACATAACTAATAGAGAAGGGACCATGCAATATACACGTACAGTATACACAAGTAAAACGGAGATGGTCATGTAATCTACAGCATGTTGCAATAAAGACTCTCAGACCTGTAGTTCACGACAGGCAATATGCATTACAGAGAGTGCCATGTAATCCACAGTAAAAGGTAAAGTTTTCCTTGTGCTTAACTAATTAAGCACTACGCCATGAAGGAGTATGGGGGAGTGGATATAAAAATCCATATTTCTTGACCTCGGCACTGCCTCGAGGTGAGTGGTCGGCTTCACGTCCCTGCCGCTTTACCCCCAGTGCCAACTGGATAGGAGGCTGGGTGGACCCAAGAGCCAGTCTGGACGAAGTGGAGAAGAGAAAATTCTTGACTCTACCGAGACTCGAACTCCGACCTCTTGGTCGTCCATCCCGTCGTCAGTCGCTATACCGACTGTGCTATCGTGGCTCTATGTACTCTACAGTATGTTACAATAAACATTCTGCAGAGTTGCAGATGGTGGCATGCTGTACATAAGTAGTGCGGGAGACGCCGTGCACTCTAAAGTATGAGACAATAAATAAAAGTCACGCTTACAGTACTGCACAGCATGCAGTGCACAAGTAATACGCGAAAGTCTTGCTGTTTACGGCGTCTCAATTGAACTCGTGGAATGCCATACTGCATAACATCAAGTACTGATCTCTAGTGTACCTGATCAGGTCATAACGCCTACTCGTATGTAGAATACCACACATACTAGTTAATTCTTACACAAATGCTGATTTCTTTGCCCTCAGTTCTTCCTTATTATCCTAATCCTTCTGCTCTACCATAGCACTATACCATCCACGCCTCCTGTCACCAGTTTAGGTCTATTTTAAGTACCATCGAAATGGAGAAGTCATACATGAATTTCTTTTCAAACATGTTTAGCCACCGTACTCACCTATTTGGTGTCTTCTTCACATTATTTGATGTTCAAATTGAATGAATGTTAACACCGACATGTTTCAGCTTTGCAACCGCTTAAGTTAAATATGGTTACTGTGTATTCAGAAATTTTCTTACACCAATCCCGTTCGGCACTAATCTTCAGGGTATATTTCAGCGCGGAAATTATTGAAAAATCAGGTAAGTTCCTCCCACTGCATGTGAACTCTCCAACCTTAATCTTACAGCGGGGGGGGGGAGGCCGCGCCACAGCTGAAGCGGTTAGCCGCTGGCTTCCCACCGCGACGGCCCGGGTTCGATCCCGCGTCTGTCAAGTGGGATTTGTGTTGGACAAAGTGGCGCTGAGGTAGGTTTTCTCCGAGTACTTCGGTTTCCCCTGCCAATCTTCATTCCATCAATTGCTCCACAATCACCCTTACCTATCATCTGAGGCTGGTACAATAGGCCAGAAGTGGCCGCAGTACAAGGGACTTAGTCCCACCCCACTAGCGATAAAAAAAAACTGTGTGCTCGAAGAAGCAAACAGAATATACGACGATTCATCAGGGAAAGCGGCAAATAGCCGCTGCATAATACTGCATAATGGGGAGATTCATTATTTATATTCCTAACCAGTTATTACTGGGGTAATCAAATTAAGAAGAAATAAATAAATAGAATGCCATCTTCTTGGATATGGTGCTGTGTATATCTTGTGTAAACCCATGTTTCGGAGGAACGTATAGCCTCCATCTTCAGGTTAGAAAAATCACGCTGGTTCCTCGCTCGCTGATTCACACAATATCTACACAGCGCCACATCCCAGAAGGTGGTATTCTTCATAGTCAACGCCCTGAAAACCTCAACTCTTACAAGAAATGAATATTTTCAAATATTGAATATTTATACTTATATACATCATAAATACCTATACATGGTCCGAATAGACCCAAAGGGAGAAGTGAAGTCGAACAGGCACCGAAATCATCAATTACTTGCGATAGTAACTCACCAAAAATGGTTAAAATAATTATTATTCCTCTGATGACAGTGACGATTATGAGATAATTATTAAAGTAAGATTCTTGGCATAATACTGAAAGGTGAAAATACATAATTTTTAAAGACATTGTTGATTATCGTTCCGAGAAAATTTTATGGTCACTGAGATGCCTTGCTCATGCCTTTAACTTAGGCCTCTATGCGGCTTCGTACGGTAGTGTTACGTAAAGAACTTTTTACTATAATTTTATGCAAGTTAAGCAACACACTGCTTCGCGTTTTGTGTACAATTACTACGAAAGTTCTTGCTGAAACTACAGATTACGTGTAAATCAGCGCACGTTTAAATCATAATAAGTGATCATCACTGCACTCGTCTGTAAACGTAAACTTCTTAACGCATACACAGAGCAGAGACTGGATGTTCATAAAGCTCAAAGTAACTAATGATCTAAGCCGAACTTCATCTCTTCAAGAGAGAAATGAAGAAACACAAGAAGTTGAACCTGTTCAAGGGGCGAAGTTCGAGTTTAATTAGTAGCAAGGCGATGTGTGCTTTGTGAAACGGTAATGTAACAACTGTTTCGGGCTGTTAACGTCAAGTTTGAAGGGAATGATAGCAAACTTCATAAATAAGTAACAGAAAAACTGAAACTCCGAAGTTATACATTCAATTCATTCAACCTGTCAAGGAGCAGTCGTTAAATTAAAGGTCTTTACCAGGAGGAATGCAACAAGATGGAGTTTTTGAGGCCCGAAGAGTTTAAAAGCCCCTTAAGCGATAAAGAAAAAATAGCAAGAATATTACAAGCCACCTAGGTCACAAACAGACCAAGATTGTTAAAAGCCCGCGCACAGATCTGAGCTGACGTAACAATACTTTTAAGGAGGTCTCCAGAAACTCGTTAAGGTTGCAGCAAAATATACTAGAACTCTGTGTTCCTGTAAGGCGTGAGATTCACATAGCGCTGAATATCAAGATTAATGTTTCCTGGAATGTGACGCCGTGTAGTTTGATAAATACACGCTAGGTGTCTGTATACCAAGTTACTCAACTTCACATTCTAGGAGATACTTTTTTATATATTCTGAGTGTTTTATATACATTTAATTTGTCATAGTATTTATTTTTCTCTCCTTTTGCTCCCATTTCGGAGCATAGGGCGAATTTCTCAGTTTCATGATAATTTTATAGAGGGTAGGACTCCTTGGACGGGTGATAAGCCCGTCGCAAGGCCGCTACCTAAACACAGGACAATACAAACACAGAAAAAACGCACACACACACCAAACATCCATGACTTGTGTAGGATTCGAACCCACGAACACGGCTTCCCAGAGAGCGAAGACAGTACGTGCCTTAGACCGCTCGGCTACCGTGACTGGCAATTTGTCATATAGTTAAATAATATTAAGAGAAAACATCTATGGACTCTAATCCGTTTTTGCGATTTTAAATGATTTAACGCGTAAGAAGTAACTAACTCACGGAGCTGAGCCCTTCTTGAGAAGCCGCTAGCCCCACAGCCACTCAAGGACTACCCAGCATTCTATGGAATCCGAAGGTTCATTATAGTGTTCACATGGGCCTCCCACTTGGTCCTGCTCTGAACCAGATCAATCCAATGTATACCACTTCATCCCATATAAGATCCATCTTAAAATCCAACCTACGTCGAGGCCTTCCAAGTGGTCTCTTTCCTTTTGGCTCTTCCACTAAAATCCTATATGTATTTCTTCTCAACCCCATTCGTGCCACATGCCCTGCTCATCTCATCCTCTTCTTGATCATTCTAATTATACGTATGAAGAAGGTACCCTGGCAACAGAAACGATACTGCTACTGCTACTGCTACTGCTACTGCTGCCGCCACCACCGCCGCCGCCGCCGCCGCCGCCACCACCACCACCACCACCACCACCACTACTACAATTTTACCCTCACTAATATTACGTGGTACGTAAAGCCTATTTACGCTTATGATACTGTCCTTAGAACACTCCTGCTCTAGACACATGGAGTAGGAAACAAGAGGAGAGTTCTTCCGAAGTCCTGAAGTTTACAACTGACGTCACTTCCGGCTCCGTATAGCTACACGCTACTCACCTGTACAGGGGCTCTCCATCAGCTTCTTTGAACCAGAGCACCATGTAGACAGCATCGTCACGGTCACGTGGTGTGATGTCACACGGCATCATTGTCTTCTTTCCAAGAACGCCCTGCACGTCCACAATCGGAACTGCAACAAGAAACAGTACGTCATTACCAGCACTGCAATTACAGAGGCTCAGCGTCCCCTCTTGACACGGTCCTGAGCTACTTCTGTCCCCCTTCAGGCTTCAGAACTTATTTCTCTAGCAACCGTCTTAATGTAACTGTTCCTTCTTCTTCTAGATCTCACCCTACCAAAATTCTGTATGTATTCTTATCTCGCTAATCCCAGCTCGACGACTAGGCCATATTAACCCCAAAGCAAGGTATAGTCGTCCCTTTGCTTAAGCACTAAGCCATGAAGGCTTATGGGAGAGTGAATGTATGGATCCACATTTTCTTGACATCGGCAACAGTTGAAGGTGTGGTCAACTTCACGCCCCGGCCGCTTTACCTCTGGGGAAAGAGCCCCCGATATATATATGATAGGAGGCTGGTTGGGCCCCAGAGCAGATCTAGACGACGTGGAGAAGAGAAAATTCTTTACCGGAACTCAGAACCCTCGGTCGTCCAGTCGCCCAACCGACTGCGCTATCATGGTTCACATTTAGCCTCATAGTATTAACCTAAATTTCACCATAATCTAATACTCCTAAACTACCCATTTCAGTCTTCTCAGATCCTGAGTATTTTGTGTTTAAACATATGTATACCTGAATAGAAGTAGCTTCTCCCACAGACAGTGTGTGCAGCTGAGGCACAGTTGTTAAATAAGTAAGAAATATTAGCAACAATATATGATAATTATAAATATACGTATAACTGCATTAAGAAATAGACAATTCAGAAAATATTTAAATGGATTTACATGAGAAAATTTCTAAGACTCATTAATTGTTCTTAATTGAAACTTTATATTAAAACGTAGTTATATCTAAAAAAATTTTTACACTCGGGTTAATGCCAGACGTAGCGGAAAACTGATACCCGCCTTAATCTGATTCTCGAAACAAGTTTTGCGTGAAATGTATCTTTAGATTCTGATTTCAATTTACGTAACGTTTTGAAACGCATTCATTTGCAAAATGTTGCATTTTGTGATGCCACTGACCTTCCGGTTAGTTAACTTTGTGTTAAGAGGATGGTAGCCAGCGAAACAGATGTAAATTGGTCCGAGTATATAGGGATAAGGAATAGGTTATATTACACAGTCGTTCCAACGTGAGTGAATGAAAAATGCATAAGGGGTAGGCCTAAAGCGGCCCCCACACCGCGACTTATTTCCTCTTAATTAAGAAATTCGAAGTTAATAACTATGATTATTATAATGACAGTAAGATTATCAGTAATATTTATAAGAGTAGAGTTTTGGGTAGTTAGTTAGTTAGTTAGTTATTGGAGAGGGTGGGTTGCCCCATGCACTGAGACCTGTATTGGTCCATTGTGCTTCCCTCTGTGATATTCTACCTGTCTCTATACCCTACCGATATTGGTGCCTTCCATCAGTCCGACCGAGCCAGCAAGTTCGCCTCTACTAGCTTGGCGGTATCTATAATGCTTCTCCCATCTATCGGAGGCGTTAGAGACTACTGTTGGGCGGGAAATGTCCTGAATTTGGCTCAGTGACCTCCTTTGGAGATATGAGGTTCTTTTACGTGCCGTAAAGCTACGACACGGGACCCACGGCTTAAAGTCCCTCCCGGAGGACTTGTTCCCTGAATTTTTCGGCTTTAAAAATTCGACGACCTCCGCCGTGTTTTTGAACCCGCGTACCACGAGTCATGAGGTGGGAACGTTACCTCTAGACTACGGAGGCTGCTTAGAGTTTTGGGTAGCTAACAAATATTCTTTTTGGGGTAAAGAACTTAGCATAAATTCAAGCTTTGCTTACGATTTCGAAGGAGAAAGAAAATAAAAGCATTCGTGATTTTAATGAGGTACTATCCCAACATTTCCTGGAAGAACTGACGAAAACCACGAATATTTCAGCGCAAGACGTCACTGAAGCTGTACTCTCTCGCACATGACACAGAAATGTCGACGATTATACCACGATTTTCGGTACCACAGGATCTATAGAATTTAATATTTGTCAGGTGATCTCAGTTATTAATGATATCCAGCAAATACGAAAAGTACCACTGTGAGTGACAACTTTGTGAACATATTAGGAGACCAAAATTGAGGCAAGAGGACAAGTAATTTGTTCCAAATTCTCTTCGCAGAACACAGCTTCTAAAACAAATCATTCATGTGAAGAACAGTAAACGTAACCGAGCTCACCACTTAATCGGTCCTCCACAATCTTATCATAACGATGCTGCGTCTCAAATTCTAACACTTTCAGGTTTAAATAGAGTTAACTATCGGCTGAAATATCGTTTCTCTTTCTTGAAACCAGCTCAGAAGTGATATCAACTACAGTAACTTCGAGACGATGGGAAATGAGACTTGTAATATCCGGCAGAAAATGTAGTTTCATTCAACAAAGACGTAGCTATCGGATTAAACATGAAATCGAAGTACTGCATAATAAATGAACATCGGGAGAACGAACGCATTTTGGTCTCTCTTATGTGTTCTTCGTTCTGAGAACTTTCCGTATATATATGTTTGACACAGAATTTTACTTATCCAGCATTTACAGATAAGTCAAAAGTAAAAGACCCTTTTTTTTGTAGGAAGTTTTTAAGTAAATATAACCTGCAGTAGAGTTGTCACGTAATGAATAAATTTTATCGTAAAAGATTACTAAAGCCGTCCAGCGCGATGTGAAAGTTGTGATTTTGTAGTATTTCATCGTTTATATGTTTCGGAAGGAGCAACAATATTCAGATGGACATTATCAGTACATATGGAAACTACTATGTTAATGAACAAAACAACCATCAAATGTGACAAATTTCTACATACATGTCGAGTCAATAAAATCGCCTTTCATTTTTCAGGTTTGGAGCATATTCAGATGCTCGTGTAACAAAAAAAAAAGCGGTTACTTACGTTTCACTTTAAAATTGTATCTAAAATCTTAAGTATTGTACTACATAACCTTCTTCTTATGGCAAGAAGAAACTGTGTTATTTGTCCTAGCTGCCCTATGTCTTCAGGGATATGTTGTTAAATTGTTTTATGTGTGCTTCATATGAAGTCTTGAGTTACTCTGTTAGTGATATCCCCTGCTACTGTGTGTGTTATTGTTGTGTTGGTGGAGATATCAGTGACTTGAGTCCTACTCGTTATAAGATCAAGACATTCTGTGTTCTATAAGATGATATTTCTTTCGTTGTACTGCATCTTTCCATGAAACTGATCTCTCTCACCAAAGGCGGACATTTATATCAAAGCAGGCTTAAACCGCTGCATAAACTGCTTAACTCTATAACTGTATGAATGATGTTAATTGAAATTAAATTATAAATGTAACAGTTGTTTAATGATTTTAAGAAGTGCCTGACTAAAGCAAGAAACTAGTTACAGGATATAACTACAGAAAAAGGGAAGAAACCAGTATGGAAAGAACAACTGCATAATCTTAATTCCCATAACATAGCAATTCCTTTTATAAATGCGTTCTCTTCAGTTTCACACGCTTAAGTGATTTTGATGTTAATTAATTTACAAAAATGAATGCAATATAATTAAAATCAATTCATTATTTGTAAGTTTTGAGGTTCTCACGGCGATTATTTGTTTACGTATTTACTCAACAGACCAAAGCCGAATTATAAAGCAAGCACGATCAAAGAGACAATGAAAACAAACAAACAGAAACATAGAAAAACAAGGCAACTTGTGTAATTTAGACTACAGTAATTCAATTAGTGCAATCACGCCAAGCAATATAGGGTGTAATGATTCAATTCTTATTTATATGCGTACTAACAAATAATAATAATAATAATTCACTTAATTTATTACAGTCTTGGCAACAGTATGGAGCCTGTAATGGACAAACACTCTAAAGTCAATATATATTCAGGGTTAAAATGTACATACATACACATATTACAAAAAGGAGACAAATCAATAATTTTATTTGCATTTTCAGTATAGCTTCGCTGAAAGGTTAAGTATTGGAATAGTCAAGATTTTAATTTTGCCTATTAACTGTAATCACTGGAATAGTGTAGGAGCTTAAATACACGGCTGTTATCTGGAAAACCAGAAACTGCTATCATCTTATTGCCTGTTGGCACTACTTATATGTGAGTTTTCGTTTCACCTATCAAACACAACAAAAGCAAACACCGAATAACACGCATTCCACTGTCCATATCTGAGTTTATCTGGTTGTACGGCGTCGCTACATGTTTCGGCTCATGGAGCCATCGTCATGTAAACATTCCCTACAGAACGGACAATACTTTGTAAGATGAGGCACCGACTAAATAATTAATATTACTATATCTACATCACAAGCCTCCAAAACAATTTATTATATATATATATATATACAAAATATAGAATACTCCAATTTGTCCGTGGGAACACAATAAAATCACAAAAACCAACGACTGACTTGATGATATAAAGCATCACTCGAAGAATTTTATTCTTGTTTTATAACTTTTGTTCTATATAATCTAATTTACTGTATTTTACGCCAAGTATTTTAATATAAGTAATATTATTGTAACCAATTTTATTAGTACTGCAGTTCAGTGGTGTATATATGTTAGCCATGCATTTGTCTGATGATGGCATTTGATAGCCGAAACCTGTAGCCGATCCAAACTAGGCACTGACCTTAATATTTTTGTGTTGTGACGGTTTTAATAAAGAGGTTGGATACATAAACAAGTCTTACATTACTGAATTGTGCTTTCTACATGGATCCATATTTGTGTTGTGTTTTTTGTCGTGTGTTACGATAATGTTATGATGTTCTAACGGTCTACAATGGTCGGTAACTCTAACGATGCTCGTTTCCCTGGCGGTAAAACTTGTAAATCAGTCAACTCAGCTTCCACAAACGTTATCACGGAGTCAACATCACTTCCTCGAAATTCTAGAGGAATATGTTAGTATTAACAGGGATGTAAGAAAGCAACATTTTATCTCGTATTTATTTCCTTCACTACGAGCAAG